GAAAAAATCTAAATCTAGATAAGTTATTTTTTCTTAAAATAAGTGCATTTGTTCTTGAATTGAGAAGGTTAAAGAGACATTCTGCCAATGGAACAAGACAATTTACACTTAAAATAAGAAAACACAATTGCATTGTCTTATTTCAAGTGCATTTTATCTAAATATCTTATTTTAAGAGTAAAAATACTCGTTCCATTGGCAAATCATCTCATTTCCCTACTCAAAAAAAGGGTAAATACACATAATTTGAGAAATTTTTACTTATTTCTAGATCGTTTTTCCAGTGTACAAAAGCAGACCCCATCTTTCAGTGGTCGGAAAATTGGTCTTTTATAGAATCCCATTAGAATACAATGAAATCAAGATTCAATTACATTTTGTAGGACTAGAGTGAAAAAAAAACTGATAGTCAAATTACCTGAAGAACAAAAAAATAGAAATTTGAAATTAGTTTTGGGTGAAGGATACATCTTTAATATCCAGAAATAATTAGATCCACCTTAGAGTGACTCTAGTTGTTATTCCAAAATTTTATGGAAAGAAATCCTTTTAATGTATAGCCTCTTCTGGATGTTTTTGGGTGTAAAAAACACAAAAAACAGCTTATTGTTGATTCTGTAAAATAAAAAAAGAAACGTAAAGTGGATTTAAAACATCCTCAGACTTAAGCCTCGCATTGAGCAGAGGGCAACTTGTTTGTTTCAATCAACACGGCCTTCCCGAGAGCGCCTAAGTAAACAAACAAACCAAACAAAAAAGAGCGTGATGCGATGAGGCTCAAATGTCCATTCACATTCACTTCAAAATCTGCCAACTTCCACCAACTAACACGCCTTTACAGTGATGCTACTGTTCAAATCCACGCACTCTTTTCCTATCGATCGGTGAGGCCAAGCCTCGAGGTGTCGTGCCTGACCACGAAACAAGCCCATGTTAACCCCATCCAGCGCTGCAGTCTAATAGGTGTTTATCCAAGGGACCCAGAAATAGCTCTGGTATGTGAAACCTAACACCGCAGGTATAAATGCTGATTATTTTGTTTCGTGGGTGCACCCTGAGTTAACATTATTTGGCCCACCTCACATCTGCAGCTCACCTTGGAGGCTAAGAAACAGATAAAGGTGTGAGTCAGGAGGATGCCTGGAGGGCTGTTTGCTCATAGAACCTCATATGTCATTTTCTGAAACCATGGGTGGAAAAAGGCGCAGGAGAGAAGGCCTGCTGTTTTATAAATACGAGCCGGGGGGTGAGGATTTGTGTCCAGGTCGGTCAGCGGCTAATTAGACCGAAGAGGCCGCTGGGTCCGTCTGTGTGTGCAGAGTAATTCCCACCAAGGTCATTTACTTAAATTCCTCCCTGTGGAATTAGTTGAACAAACACAAACTCTGGATAAACTCTGCATTGATAGAGGGATAAACTGAGCATTTTATACACAAAATATCTTCCATTTTATCCCAGTATATTAATTTATAGAAACTAAACTTCGGAGGTGGGACTAAGATGTTGTTTTGCAAGTGTCAATTCAATATAGGCAAGTCAGGTACCAAGTCATGAATGGTACAGTATCTCGTATGTACAGTAGAGTCCCAAGTCATAACTTGAAATTTCAGATCCTTTCAAGTCTTTCTTTTAATAACAATGTTAACCTATATGGTAAATGTAAATGATCGACAATAAGTTCTTTTAAAAATCTTTATT